CTTCTGATCGAAGTTTTTTTTTTTTTTTTTTAATTTAACCGAGACGTTCTTTGTATACTGGAGAAAGGGTGTTCCAAAGGGCGGGTAAATAAATTACTTTTTTTTTTAATTTAACCGAGACGTTCTTTGTATACTGGAGAAAGGGTGTTCCAAAGGGCAGGTAAATAAATTACTATAAATTGTCACTGCTTAGGATTTGAAAATAAAAAAAGGACACTATAAAGCTAAGAGGAGGGCATTAGAGTACGGTCGGTCCCCGCCCTCGACGCCGTGTATAAACAATACACCACAGAAAAACAACGTAGAATTATTAAATCTGGTACGTATCATTGGTTGATTCGGATTAATTAATATTAAATGAAACTGTTTTAAGATTTAAAAAAAAAGTTAAATCAAGTTGTCTATCCAGTTTAACTCTCTTTTTATTTTTTTAAATTCAGATTTAGACCAAGGATTATGTACGGTAGTTATGATAAAATTGAAAATCTTTTCTTTGAATTCAATCCCTCGTCTTTTATTTGTAATTTTTTTTTATTTGTATTGATTATTTCTAATTAAATTTTATTTTTAGTTATTTGATTTTTTATTTTTGTTTTTAAATTTAATGCACATTTTATGAATTGCTATTTATTTTATTTTGAATCATTTACTTACTTGATTTGTTTTTTTACAATTCTACCCTTAGATATTTATTTTCATTTAATTCTTGCATGAAATTTCATTCAACTTCTTTTATTTGCTATTTTTAATTATTTTTTAATGAATTTTTTTTTTACAATTTCATCCATGAATATTTAATTTCATTTGATTTTCATGTTGAATTTAGTTCTAATTTTTTTAATTATTTTTTTTTATATTTTTGTATTGATCTTTTCCCTCAATTTTATCTATCGATGTTTATTTGGTTAAGAATATGACTTCTTTGTTTTTTTAGGTTTGCTTTTGATAGGTTTACATCAGTCTCATAACTCGGGTAATAGATCTAAAAGATAAGCCCGAGTTAACTTCTGTCTATTTTTAAAGTATATTTTTTAATATTTTTTTATCTGTATTTTTTGAGCTTCCCTGTTTATAGCGCCATCCCATTCTCATGTCTTTTTTTATGTGTTTGATTTGTTGATTTGGGTTCGCTCAAAGCTTTTTTGTTATTTTTTTTTACTTTAACAAGGTTTTCTAATTTTTATTTTAAAATTGGCTTATAGTAAACTTCTTAATAGGACATGGATCTAAGTTTTCATAAGCTATGAGTTTTTTAAGATTTAACCATGTTTAGAATGTTTATCTAGATTTGCTTGGTTTTTATATATGTTTTTAAATTCATCCATGAGTTTTTTTTATCTTTATTTTTTTAATTTTTTTTATAGATTTTTTATTAATATTTTTAGCAATCTTATCATTTAAAATTAAATTGATTGAGAATTAGACTTTTTGATTAAATATGAATAAAAAATTTGGGTTTGCTTTCAATAATTTTTTTTCTACTTCACCCCTAATATTTAACATGACTGGAAGGCACCTTACAAGTTAATTATATCCTGGGGCTGTCATGTTAGTCTTTGAATGTTTTATTTTGTTTTATCCCTAAAAGTTTTATAACTTTTAAAACTCCCCTCTTCTCCATCATGTAACACACCATATTATACGATGGTTTTGTGTTCCTTAATTTACATTGTGTTTTCTGTTAATATGAGGGAGTTTTGGAAATTTCGCATATCTCGAATTATAGGAAAGGATAAAGTACATGAATTGCGAGTGATTATTGTATAATTTTGTTGACTAAAAGTAAAGGAAAGGTCTGGTTTTGCAAACTCATTAACTTTGAGGGATCTAATCAACAGGATGCAGATCTAATCTAGAAATATTTTGGAGTGTATTTATTTTTATAATTTTGGATTATTTGATGTGTAGATATAAAAAATAAATTTTAAAAAACAAAAAAAACATTAATTTAATATATTTTCAAATGAAAAACACTTTAAAAAAAATTATTATTACAAATCCAAACAATACCTTAACGTGCAGTTAAAATTTTAGTATCTTTTGCGGTTGGAGGTTTGAAAAAAAATTATAAATTGTATTTTTTTCAAAACCAAGATAGAAAAATGAGTTTCCATCACGATCCATGTAAAAAGGTGGTTTAGCACTACTAACCAAACGTCTTTGAACGTGTAATTATTTTGGCAAAACACAGCTCCAATTGCACAAAAACAAACGGAGAACCTGGAGGCATCCGGGGCTCGCCACCATGAGTGATGTATACAATAAACTGGCCCAGAGTAGCAAACGAAAGAGAGGAATTATTAAATGGGTGGCATGCTTGCTGCCATGTTAGGGTTGTAGCAGATGCAAAAGAGAAGGCTTTTTATGGAGAGCGAGAGAGAGAGGAAAACCCAATAGCATTAGCCGATATCTCCTCCATCAATGACGCAGTCGCATGAAGCCCCATTTCCAAGAAGACATTATCCTCCCATTGGACCCACGATTATGACAATCAGACGGCTGGGAATTGAGTTTGAAAAGAAGTCCAATCGAACGGCTATATATAAATCTGTCAAAGGTGTTAATGTGGCCTCAATGAAAGCAACACGTACGTACGTACTACCCCTGGAATCAGTCTGCACCAACCAATCAAAAGCCTCTTCTCCTTTCCTTTTACCTTCTCAAAAAAGCTTCGGGCACCGTCCTCTCTTATAGAATCTACCCTAATTTAACCCAAGAAGGCAAGCCGACAAACGCACAAAATCCAAACATGACAGAACAAACCCAACCCTAGTTTTTTCTTTACTTTCCTTGTAGGGTTTTGCTGTTTTGTTTTTTGGTAAAAATCTTGTGGTTGGAAAACCACTACAAGTTTTATGAGTGGTTGGGCGCGCGTCAATACAAACTGGTAGATTTTGTAAGAGGAAAGGACACTTGTCTGTGCGTCACCGACACCTGTTCATCTTGCATGATAGAGAGAGAAAGAAAGCAAGCAAGAAATTAAGGGATGTAATCCTATTAAAAGCCAAGCAAGTTTTAGCTCCTATCTACTTCCTTCCGGTGAAGTGAGTGTGTGTGGAAGTAGAGGATAGAGAGAAGAAACAACAAGGGTTATTTCTTGAATTCCATTTTTGTGGTAATCTTTGTTTAATTATTGCTTGTTTTCTTGGATTTTTGGTGTAGATCAAGAGATAGAAACCCTAGTATGCTTTTTCGAAATTTATGGTTTGAGTAAAAATAAAATTGTTTTAAAACAAAATCTTCTTTTATAGATTTACACTTACAAATTACACTAAAAGAGATGCAATTTTCTTCGGAATTAATCCATTAAAAACTAATTTCATTAGCACTCTTCTCTCCTTTTCTCTTCGGAATTAAACGTATACTTGATGTATTTTTTTTAAGATAATGACAAATTAATTAATTCCATAAACAATATGTCTTCATCACTTCAAGTTACCTCAAGTGAAATGAATTTTATAATTTTAAATCGTGTTCCAAGCAAATCAAATGAATTCCATCTACTTAAAAAGCTGAAAACAATTGGATCCTATCAGGTGCATGCAAATCTCTTAGATTTGTGTTTTAACACCAAAAAGAGAGGCGATCAATGGTAGGTAGATCTTTTGGCAACTTAATTTCCTTGAAAGGGCATCACATGTTTCTCAGATCTGACTGAATTCTTCTACGCATTTTGTGCTAAATTTCTTTCTTTCTTTCCATTTTTTGGTAAGCTATATCTTTCGCTCAAGAACTGATCCAGGAAAAAAATCTGTTTACCTTGTTTTTGTATTTTCTTCTTCTGGACATTAGAAACTGACAGAAGAGAGTGAGCACACAGAGGCATATTTGTATAAATCTATACCATTGCTTTTGCGTGCTCACTTCTCATTCTGTCGGCTTCCAGAACCGGATTTGGGCCTGTTTTATGCTCCAGAAATTCCTTTCTTTCTCATCTTTTACGTCTCTTTGCAAACCCAAACAAAAAAGGCTCCTGAAAGATGAGGATGGTGTATAGTAGGAAAAAAATGGAGAAGCAGAAGCAAGGTATCCACTTTGTGTTTCGTTTTTTTTTTTTTTTTTGGCGTTTGAATCTTGATTAGTTTCTGATGTATTAAATTATAGTTTAGTATAATAGCGTGGCTTTTGATGAAGTTTAAGCCAGATTACTGTGCAATTTATAGCGGCAAAACACTGTGTAGCGTAGTATATATATAGCATGGGACCATTTCATTTACGTTTTCTAATTTTTTCGAGTATCTCTTTGCAAAGCCAAACACCCTCCTCTTTTTTTTCCTTTTCTCTTTCTCTTGCGCATGCGATTATGTTATTATCTGCTCGAGATTTGAATCTGATTTGACCTTGTGTTCACTTGAATCTTATCTTATACTGTTTGTGAAAATGGGTTTTCCTTCAAAACCCTAGTCTAGCTTCAAATAGGGTTGCTTCTTGTATTAATGGAGAAGGGATTTTGTGGCGAGTCGTCTTTTGCTTGCTCTTAGTAAAAACTGATCTGATCATTTTCCATTGGCTCTTGGAAATGGGTTTTGTTTAATATTTTTCTTTTGATTTGTAAGTGCATGTGAAGTTCTTAGAACAAAAGAAGAGACATGAAATCTTTAAATTATTGCATGTAGTGATTTCTTTCCAGAAATATGAAATTTCAGCATGCATAGTTGTTCCTTGCTGTGCTCCTTTTTTTTTTTTTAGCTTTCTGCAGATAAGCATGGGATGGTCAACTCATTTATCACGAAGTAGACAAAATCTAGTCAAAAACAGGTTTTGGGAAGCACTTCAGGTAGCAAGCAGGTAGCTAGCTTTCAGCATTTATAGTACTGACTTCTATTTATTTTATACAGTTTTGGGCTTGTAATGTATGTCTTTAATGTGTTATGCCTGAGTATTTCAATGGTTGCTTAAGGACTACAATTTAAACTTCTAAATGGTTTTTTTATCTATCATTTATTCATCTTGTTTTGTGATTCTTGCAGTGCAAACTCGAGCAAAAACCTCACATGGTCTGTGGTTCCTTGCTTTCAAGTTTTTAAATCATCAACTTGTTTCTTCTAATCTTGATTCACATCAAGATATGTCCCAAGATTCTTGCTGGGAGTAGATCGGAAATGAAGGTGTACTATAAAGCCAAAGAAGTTAATTTCTATATCTTGTGTTCAACTTTATTTTACCCAATCTTGATAAAATTTAAATCATGATAACATTTTTCAGATCTTGCATCTTAGTATTCTTTTTGTCTCTTGTCTTCTTCATCCATTCCTGGTTTTATAAACAATCATATAACCTTGATTCATCTCTTCTCTATGCTCATGAAAGAGTGCTTAATCCCTAATTTTGTGTTATAATTACAATATACAACATTCTGCTTCCTGTAAAATGGCAGGGTCATCACCAAGAGTATGAGAAATGTGATAGTTCTGTGCGTTGACTCGTGGGCCTTCAATTGCTTTAGAGATCTAACGGTAAGGATCCATGGAGTGCTATCTAATATAATTAGAACTCATTGTTTGACTAGGTACCCATTTTTTATTCAATTCCCTTGAAAACTTACATTTTGTTCTCTCTTTGATTTTAGAGTTGATACTGTTCTAGTTGTTCAGTTCGTGAAATACATACTGTGAAAGCTCTTGTCACCTCTTTCCAACATTTTGATTTGTTCCCAGCATAGACTTCTACCACTTTAAGAATTACATGTGCGTGCATAATCACCTCCTGGACCAGATGCATGATCATCATCGCTTGTTGGGAGAATTTTAGGAATAGTCTGGGGTTTAATTACTCTACCGAGATATCTTTTTTTTATTTATTTACATAGATGTTCGGGTCAGCTTACGTGCACCACGACTAATCTTATAATCTATTAAATACCCTGCAAATCCAAATCTAATAGGCATATAAAACACTATGAAAATAACAAATATGTACATGAGAACTCGAACTCAAATACAATGAAAAGATACAAGTCCTTTTCACCGCTACGGTAAAACCCTCATTGCACTCTACCGAGATATCTTAGCTGGAAAGCTTGGGGATTTTCTGGAAAGTAAAATGAATTACTCGTTTATGTTGTTGAGGTAGCTGGTGCATAAATTAGGCATTTCAGCCCTTCTCAAGATTATATGAATGTGACATTGTGTTGACACAGACTTCTCTGTCTTCTCTTCTCTTTGTTGTCTTGTAATTCCTGATACAATGCATGAAGAATTTACTTTTCAAAAAAATGCGAGGTCCTTGTCGGAAGTTCTTGCTGAGTTGCTAGACACAAAAATAGCTGAATACATTGTTGTCTGTGGATGCACTTAAACATGAAGTATGTTGATGTTTTGGAGAACTCAAATGTAAGAATTTGAATTCAACCATCATATAATACATTAAGTGATAAAGGAAATGAAGACTAGACTAACCTTTTCTTGTGATGTGGATGGCGTGCGAACTGGTGCTTATAAAATTTATATTTCGTGACACTAGAAAGGTTTTCGTAAAGGATAAGGAAAGTGTTTGAAGCAGCATGAATTTAAAAAGACGTTTATTAATTTTGATATTGTTGCTGTCATTAAATTAATACAGATAAAGAAAATTGCACTCTAGCAATCGTCTTTTTTCTATATCATATTGAAAGAGGTGTGTTGCACTCTCATTGTTTTTCTCGACCTTTCGAAAACAGGTAGCTCGAGGATTTGTATGAATTAACTAGATCATCAGATGGGCAATTGACTAGCCTATCATGGAGGAAAGCCAAGAAAAAAAAGAGGGGGGAGGGTATGGTTTTAGCTAGGAAGGATAAAAGATTAGCTCTGCTGATGATCACTTTCAACTTTAGGATTGGTACAAGTAGCCGGAACAGATGACCCTCGTAGCTTTTGTTACTCTTAATTCGAGTTAGTGATTCAGACATTGTGTTGCTTCTTATAGTAGCTAGAAGTCAATGAGTGATTTCAAGTCCTCGTTACAGAGAGAAGGCAGTCAAATTATATTTTGCTGTAAGTTCCGTAACTTCTACTTACATTTCCATAACTTCTACTTACATTTTGTAATTTTAAATTTGAAAATTTGTAACATTCATCTGCAAATTTTATATTTTTCTCGGACTCTACGTTTTTTTTTTTAATTTTTTATAAAAGAATACAACAACAGATGTATGATTTTTTTATAATATTTCGAGTGGTCAAGGTTAAAATAAAGTTATAGGCAATAGTTATGCATGCATGAATAGGATGCATGTCCTAAGGTCTCACTCGGCTTATGGCATTGATCCTAGTGACACCTCAAGACAAGGGAGATTACTTAAGGTTAGTGATCACACGCTTGGACAAGTGTGAATATTTACTTGATAGCTAATCTTGGATTACCTCTTTTATAGGTGATGGGATGTCGTGAAATCTTCACACACACTCGCAGATACATCGGTGTAGTATGCATGCATAAATCTTAGGACCTTCTGTTTACATGCATGGCACTATTCATGCATGTGTAACACTTAGCCAGAAGCCTTATTTGATCTTACAACTTGGCACAAACATAACATAGTGACACGTACATGTGGTCTTGTATGCCCTTTTTTTGTTGAATTTTACTAAAGTCATTTAATATAACTCTTAACTTTTCAATCATTGCACTACAAATTTTCTCTGATAAGACCTATAAATTCGTACATAATAATATAGATAAAATTATTAAAAAAGGGTCCCGAATTGATTTGAAGAAGAGCATGACTTAGAAGTCATCATAGGTTGTATGAAGGCACCTTCTTCAGGAAATTTCTGTTGATTCTAGCATTTATGAGCCATGAGTTTATGAACCATGAAATTCTTAATTAAATTTATGATCTCTATACATCTCAATCACTGTTAAATTTTCGAACAAGCTTCTTCTCCACAAAATTCAACTCCGTCAACGGTTACATGCTCTCTATGGTCCTTACCTGTAATTCATTGCCATATTCGTCGTCATATTTTCCCATGTTTGCTGCCTATTTATAAAATTCTAAAATTCGGCCTTCACTTGTATGTAGAATCAATAGAGAGCCGGGGAACCTATGACTTTGTGCGAACTGAATTTGGCATGTTCATTCGGTATCCGAAGGAATTTTAAGGTTAGATTCTCTTTGAGGTTTGCTTTCAACATGTTTCATTGATTTTGATTTACTAATTAATATGAAAAGCTCACAAGGATATAGGGGCATGGGTCTCAACAACATTTCAACATATTTTCCTATGTTTGCTGCCTATTAATGCATGTTTTCTAGTGGATTGTAGCAAAATGTATAATACATAAGCATGATATTCTGCTCGAAATGAACATAAGCTGTTATATTTGGTGGATAATTTTGCAATTTCTTGCTGATTTTACACTGCTGCAATGTATTTTGATTATGTGCTGTAGTTGTGTGCATGGTTCTTAGTGAAACCATAATATTACTGTTCTGCCCGAGTACTATTTTGCGATTCGAACCTTCTACATTTATGCTAACTAAGCTTAAAATAAGGTGACAGGTGATGACATTTATGTGATGATTGCATTCGTTCTTATCATCTTAAGTTTTCTTCGGCCTTCATTCGAGTACGAATATCGGCTGATTTGTCCCTATCATCATCTTAGCAGGCCAACACCATGCTGAAAACGTGGAAAGTTAGGAATTGGTAAATACAAGAGAACCTCTTTGAACTTTCTTTTGGAAAGTTCAAAAACTCTCCTCCGAGTCACTAAGTCCTTTTGTCTCTTTGATTTTCCTGAGTTAACAAATGGTGAGAGTGACATGAAAAAAGGAATCATAATGGAGCCCCATGGCCCACTGGTGATAGGGGTGCCTGTTTCATGATTGAAAAACTTCCCTTGCATCTGGAGGTACTGTGGAGATGATGCTAAAGGTAATATAACCTAGAAATGTACCTGGAAGCTCGAGTCTCTAATTTTCATTAATAACATTTGATTCTCCTCTCTGGTTTACCAAAGAAAACTAAATGTCTAACAACTTGTAAGCTAAAAGCATGATCATAGATGGATTTGGTTTGCTTCTAATTACCATAAAGCATGCCAGGCAACACTGTAACTTGTAACCAGTTGATGGATTTTTTTTTTGTTTGTTCTATAGTTTGTGGGTAGGGGATTGTAATCAGCCACTAAACTCCTAAGGCTTCAACCTTAAGATCTTTCTCTCAAATCTTCATCTATCTCATTCTTACCTGCATTTTCAAGGTCTTAATCTCTAGAGCGATTTTTGTTCTCACAGATATCAACAACCAATTTATGAAAATTCAAGAATTGAAGACAATCAATGGAATGCTGTTACATAAATGGCAATGGCTGTTCATGATGTCTAGTCAATTCTGATTGTATCAAAAACTAGCAGTCCGGATTAAGCTATAACCAGGCGTACGAGGTAATGATTGTTGGGATCAAAGGTTTCCTGGTTTGCAATGTGTTCGTAATCTATGGAATTCAAATTCTATGTTTTGATTAGTCCTAAATTGAATGATTGCGGGATTGTGATGCCCCAGATCAGCATATAATTTGCAGGAGATGTTAATTCTTAGTTGCTGGCAATTTGACTTGAAATATCTAGGTCTGCTGTTGGTTTTTTCATTTTGAACATTTTTCTCTGGGGTGTTGTCAAAAATCTGATAGCTGAAATGAAAGCTCTCTTCGAGGGCATATGTTAAGAGAAATAAATATTGTCTCCTCCCTGCTTATATCGAAAAGATTATCTTATGCCTACTTTCTGGTCAAGTTTTCCTGTGAATTACAGAGAAATTTGTCTAGGGTTTCACAACCTCTACCAACAAGATAACCACAGACCAAAACTAACAGGTAGGTGTATACACTGAAATCATATTGAAATAATAGAAAGCAGCAGTAGCAGACGACATTTTCTTCCATCAACGAATTTCAAGTACATGTCTATTGTTGTACTACGAAAGAGATGGCAAACAGATATTGATGGCAAACAGAGAAATAATTTCAAGTACATGAAACTTGCGCAGATACAAGAACTCAAGGTGTCACCAGTGCCCCGGCAAGCATCGGCTTCAAAAGCCTTCAAAGGTCTTGCATGGAACGGAAGGGGAGATGCATGCAAAAACTACACGCCATTTTTACTAGATCTCGGAGAAAAAAATAACCAGAAATGTGACATACCTTATGTTTTGTAGTGCCTGAGTTTGTTTTGGTGCACTTGTATGGCGATATGTGGAGGAAAAGTGCTATGGCGGGAAAATACAGGGATGATTCCCAAATCCCAACGGGTTTCTTCTTGCAGGAGGTTGTGCCGTTATCTGTACTGTTTGTGGGAAGGACTATTTTATTGAGAACAGAGCATTACGGTGCTCATGATTTCAAACTTCTTTTTTTTTATAAAAAAAGGGTTTCAACGGACGCACGAATTAGGCTATAAGATATTGTGTGATCATCACCGGAATAAGATAAAATAAAAAATTATCATCTCGGGGTAAAAAAATAAGGACGACAAAAAACGTACGCAACCTCCGAGGATTTTATCTAGTCGTTTTGGTGCCATTTATGAGATTATGACTTTATTGATTGTGATGATTAAAAAGAACAGCTTGATCACATGGATTAGGGCGTACTTGTTGATCCTGTCGAATTCGTTGGCTTTAACTTGTATGATTTGGAATCTCCATATTTTATAGTTTACTCAAGCTATGAATAGACAAATTTAGAAATATATGACAAGTTGCTACACGGACCAGGCCAGACACTTAGAAAACAAGGTAAGAGCGTGACAGGGCACAAAAAGCTAGGAGAATGCTTGGAAAAATGAGGAAAAAATTTGAAAGTGGACGTCGATGAACAACCTTGCAAATTGCTAACTATACTATGTGTCAAGCTAAAGAAAAGGAAAAAAATTAAGGAGCGTCATAACTCATCAAGATTGTACAGCAATTTTTATTTCATGACAAGTTAAATGTCAAGTGATGATGGCCTTGGTGAGGGAAACTCGCAACACTTTCAGTTGGTCAAGTCCTAGTCAGTCACATCAAGCTTCAATAGTGGTCACTGACTTCTGGAGAGGGCTCCAGCAGCGAAGAGGAGATTCCTACGCGAAAACTGTTCCGAGAATATGGTACAAAGGTTATGTACTGAAAGACCAATATCAAAGGGCACAAATAAGGAAGGAAATCAAGTCGAAGAATTTGAGCATTTGCACAAGTTACCCTCAAGGTGCTAACAGGAGTAGACTTCGTTGGCAAAGTTTTTAACAATCTCAATCTGTGTGCATTTCCACTTTTGCTGATTACAAGAAACACAGTGTAAATGTCCCCGTAAAAGAAATAGTTCAAGAGAAGAGAAACATGTTATGAGCTACTTCCACAGGAAAACTTACTTTTCTTCTGTCTTTGCCGGCTTTGTGCTTGTAGTTACATCCCATAATTTTACAGTACAATCAGCCGAACCAGAAGCAAGAAGGGAACTTTCACAACTGGCACAAGAGAATAGCAGATTGTGTCAGTAATCTAGCAATCAATAAAAAGAACTTTTATCAAGTCTAAGAAATGCTTTGGAGATCTCGTGAAGTGTCTAGGATTTGCACCTGAAGGCAAGTGACCATACACATGAATGGTGTCCCATCATAGGCGATATGCAGCGGCCACTTGAGAGGTCCCACATCATGATAGTGCCATCTTCATCACCAGATGCCATGTATCGACCATCAGGTGACATGGCCAATGACAAAATCATACTCCTATGTCCAATAAAAATGCGGACACACTCCCCACTCTGCACATCCCACAGTCGAACTGTTTTGTCACTGGAGCCAGTAGCAATGTAATTGCAGTTGGCATGCCACTGCACGCACTGAAATATATGCAATCCAATCAAATATAATTGACATTGCAAAATTAGAAAACAAAAGGAGTAATGCACTTAAATAAATTTGCTGAATTAATATTTTACATAAAGCAAGCTCAACACGATAGCTTTGTCTTTGAAGGAAACACCAATTTGTGGAGGGAGGTTAACTTGAAGAAAGAATTTCACCCATTTCTTCCATTTTAATAACAAGAACCATTTTGTTTTATCCAGATTCCAGACAACCAGGCAAAAAATAGAATGCAAAAGCTGCTTACATCAACATCAGACAAGTGACCTGCCATTATCCTCAAAGGCTGTATCCTATCCATAGACCAAATCCTGGCTGTGCGATCATGCGAAGCACTGGCAAAATAATGTCCCACGGGACTGAACTGCACCCCAATAGATTAGGAAGAATGTATGAGAAGCATGACCATGAAGTATTATGGAAATCTCCGCCATACTCTTCCTCAATTTCATCATGGTCATTAAAAGACAAGGGAAAGAGTAAAACAACAAATCAAATCAAGATGATGTGCAGAAGGTCCAGTTTATACCTGAACATCCCAGACAGGGTAATTATGGCCTTTGTAGCAAACAAGATTTGCATTGAGTTCTGTGCTCCATAATCGAACTGTAGTAGAGCAGTGTAGTATCATTGCGAAAAGAAAATATACAGTAAAAAAACCATTAACAAAAGAGCATTTATGCATGCAGAAGAAGATAAAAATGAAATGATAATCCAGGAGAATATACCTGTTGTATCTGCTGAAGAAGACAAAATAAAATCCCCAAGGGGGCTAAAAGTGGCTGAATGAACCGGGCCCGAATGACCCTGAAACAAAGTATAAGATCTTTTGCCACTGTTTGGCCCCAATACATGTTCACTCGGAGCAGTATCATTTTCACCCTGCAAAATAGCTGGCAGAAGAAACGTTTATTGTCACAGGTCCTCTTTGCCCAGAATGCCTTGACATGAAGACTAGCATCTACAATGTACAACCATATCAGAAGGATAAAGAATCCAGGACTATGACAGGATAACATCTACACTGTTTTCTCATCAAGCGTCTCTGTACTTGTTATTTGGGTTGATTACAATTGAAAACTTTTCTGCACAGATAATCAGTGTACAAAAAATGAACAGAATACTTCATCAAATTGTGACGCAGGAACTAATATTTTAGCATTCTATCATTTCAGTATTTATTTTAATAATTATTAGACATGTTCCTATATATTTATAGCTACAATTAGAAGTTTTCTTTATAAGTTCAATCTAGAGCTGTGATTAAAGCTTTTATTGTAACCCTACTATAAATAAGCTGTAAAAAAGTATTAATTCAACTAGAGTTTTACCTAAACCCTACATTTTATATAGAGTACCAATTTCTATCCTCCTTGCTTCTAGCCTTAGTTCTGCAGATTTACTGCTGTTTTCTTCCTAAACTACACCAAAATGTCAGCATTTTATTCTGTCAAGAACACAGTTTAAATTAGTAGTATCCTGAAAGATGATTTGCATTGTACCCAAAAACAGCTGGTGGAATAGGAAAAATAAGAAACTATCACTGAAACTAATCCCTAATTGGAGAGACTTACAATTTCCAGCTTGCTGTCCAAGCTTTGCCATGTCCCAAACCTGTAAAGGCACAAATCAGAATTAGCAACAGTAGTGGCATCATGGTGGGTGCGGTGCTGAGTTAAGTATGAGAGAAGAACCTTCAGTGAGGAGTCTGAGAATCCACCAGCAACCAAGGATCCATCATGGGATATTGTAGAACAGTTTAAACTAAGAGAGATCCCAAATAAAATAATGAGCAATTGATCATGTAAGAAAATGGAGAAGCTTAATACAAATATATAAGTAATGAAATTACCCGTTATGTGTGTTGATAAAGGTATAAAAGCTAACAGATGGCAGTGTCGTACTACTCAACTGTACACGGTTTCTCAAGTCCTCAAGAATAGACTGTTCCACTTCAGCTGGCCTGAAGGAATCGTTAATTTATTAATTATTAGAAATTTAGAATGCAGCACTAACTTGTGCTAGCAGGTGAATCAATTGCTTATTCCAGCAGGACCTAAGTCATACAAGAACTTTATGGAAGAAACATGGCATAAAATATAGTCATGAATGCAAAGATGCACTAGCAGGTACAGATTATGTACGGTGTGAACCCAGTTCGGTTAGAAAGGTCAATGATAAAGCATGATAATATAATAGAGCAATCAAAAGAGAAAGAAGACAAGATAAATGAAAAGAGACCTTGAACAGTCAACAAGTATTAATCTTAGTTAATACAGATGATCGGTAAAGTTAGTTAGAATCAATGGACCAATCCCCATAGAACCTAGCTTCTGATCATAGTCACAGCCACAATGAGGACATGTGAAGTAACAACTTACAGTAGGTAGGTCTTAATAAACATTTGTGCAGCCTCCCATGATTTAACGCCTAACTAAAGTGAGTTTTTTACCTTGCATGTCCTCATAACATGTGTAAAGGACACATTCACTTTATTCTAACACACCTGAAGACACATGTGATATGTCATGGCAGTTGTAACATACAGAAGTAAAATATCACGTATGTGTTCAAGTGTATTGAACATACTTTGATGAATAAGAATTCCTATGTGTATAACATGCAAGGATTCCCATAGGCTATATAAGGTAGCCGTAAGGTTGTGCCAGAATCAAGTTTCCTATGTTCATCTACATTATCTGCTTTAGCCTTAGCCTTTTATGCAACACCCTCCTCTTTATTAGCCTTCACATATTACCACGTTCTGACTCAACCCAGGGTCACGGGTTGGGCGGGTAGGTCAACCCAAGCTACACTTTTTTTAAAAAAAAAAAAACAACTGAAAATGACATTGCTTTGATGAAAAAAAAAAGAAGAAAGACTAGCACGAAGTAAAATCCACCCTAGACTAGCCTCTAGGTTGGTGGGTCACCAAGTTGAACCACCAGGCCAAGTTTTATAACTGTGGTTCCATATCCCATATATATATATATATATATATATATATATGTATATATATATATATCACAAAAAGGCACAAAAAGGTCATTGATGTAATGAATAAAATGACATAAGATTCTAGAAAATACATTACTGGCAAAGGAAGCTCAGGTTTGACTCGTGGTGCTGCTGGTACTGTATTTGCTTCAAGACGAACAGCTTTAGCTGTTGAACTAGCAGCCTTATCCTTTTTTGACTTTTTTATTGAAGCACCTTGCTTTCCACCATCCATTGATCTTTTCTGAACAGGACATGGATGATATCAATGTAAAGAAACAACTCAGTCTTTGATAGAAAGGAAAACCTATATGACAATGAAATGTAGAAACAGCATATATTACAAAATTAAATTAAAAATAAGCATGAATTATTAACATATCTATATGAAATCCGCATAAAGCAAGTATGGAGG